GCAGACCTGACTTATATCTACCTTACTCTGCTTGAGCGCCTTGGCGTAAAACAAGTGGTCTGCAGACCAGTCCTTCTCAATCCTAAAAGAAAAGGAGGCCGGAGCAGGAGCTCCAAAACTGCCAACCATCTCCATCGTACTCAGATGCTTCCATGTAATTGGGCGACACCGCCCGTTTGGTTCTGCGAATTCAAATAAAAATGTACCTACCTACCTATTCATCATATTTCTGTCCCTCCAGGAAATCGCGATTCCACGGATGCAACAAATTTCGCGATTTTGGCCCAAACCCGCGATTCTCAGCAAAATCCGCGATTTCCCGCGTTTTCTGTTGTTTTCTGCACTATATCTCACATTTTTTGCACTTTTCACGCAGTTATTTTCATGATTCTGTAGGTTATTTGTACGAGCGTACAGTACGACTATCGAGTAGATATACGATGCAACAAATTTCGTGATTTGGCCCAAATCCGCAATTTTCAGCAAATAATTCCACGAATTCCTGGCAAGTTCTGCATCATTCCGCACTTTTCGTCGCATTTTTTGTAACTTTCTGCCGCAATTTCTTGCGCAAGGTTTCGAGAGTTTTCTCCGCAAATTCCCGCAGGGGCAGATATTTGAAGAACAAACTTCGTCGTTCAGAAAAGCTATTTCGGAATATTTTCAGTCACGTAATTTTCTGCATGCCGATCTTGCTAGAACGGAGACTGACTTCAACTGATCCAGCATACAAGCAGCACTCGCTTTGTGTTTTTGGAGAGGATGGGTGACAAGATTACGGAGTCAGAAGTGGACATCGTCGACGATGCAGAGACGAGAATAATAATGAAGATGGAAATGAAAATATGTTCATCTCCAAGAAGGTACTGAGTAGGGCTGAGTAGGGTAGCATTTTCTTCGGGTATCGGGTCCGGGTAGTTTTCCACGGGTAGCACGGGTACCCGATCGGGTAATGTTGCCATGGTAAAACCACAATGCCCCTTCCCTTGCGCATTGGGTAGACATGCTTGAATTATTTGTACACGTGCACTGTACATGATGTCATCTGCGACCTCGGGTTTTCGGGTACTATTCGGTACCCGAGGTCCTCACGGGTAGCACGGGTACCCGACTACCCGTGCACACCACTAGTACTGAGTACATCAAGCACCTTCGTGTGTGTAGCTCTGTCTTTCTTGTGGAAGACTCCACAGAAAGACAATGTCCAGCTTGTTGAAACTGAAACTGCCTCTCAGTTGAAATCGTTCAGGGAAGACATCTATTCAAGACATCATTGATCCATTCTCAAGAACCATCGTAAGAAATTAAATCAAATCATGTTATCGATAAGAATGGCGAAGTGTGAGTGTCTTGTTTTGACTGCAGGAAACTAGGCCTTGACGGATTATGCTAATATTCTCGTGAAATTATGCTTTTCGCATTGCTGAAAAAAATGGCAGAATTATGCTATTTTTATGCTAAAAGTTATCATATTATGCCGCATCATGCTCACATATGCTGCTAATGTATATGGTTCTGTGCAAAATAACAGGGGAATTTTTTGTAGAGGGCGTTGTACGATTCGTACTGTAGTAGCAAAAGTTCAACGGGGTCAACGCACCGTCCGACCTCGCTACGACTAGGCTCCGGCGGATTATGCTCGCGAAAATATGGAATTATGCTTTCATGGATTCTCGCATTATGCTCGTAAAATCCTCATATTATGCTTTGGCACCCCGGGATATATATTCACTTTGTTGTACTTATGGAGCCTCAAAGTTCGGAAAATTGTGCCTTTTTCGTACTTGCAAGTTGCAAGTGGCCATAAGTACAACAAAATACATGAGTATCCCCATACCAAGCTGCAAGGTATCCATGCATGTTAGAGATCAACATGGAAAAGAGAAAACATTACTTCTTCTATTCATCACTTGATTTCTTTTGTACTTCAGTAAAAAATATTATTTCATTGCCAAATTAGTTCAAGAGAGAGCTGCGCAAACATTCTTGTCAGTATTCAGGTCTACTCGCTGACATGCCGTTACCCTGTTCATAGTAGTCCCCCCCCCCTTCCCAATCTGTACTCTCTTGTACCATCATCCTTCAATGCGACGGACCCCACGATAGGCGGTCAGCCTTTGGGTCATCCTAATAAAGTTATTATTATTATTAGTTTGAGTTACCTTTGAAGATTATCATGTTCAACTCACGGTCTTCATAATCATCATACTCTTCCAACCGATGTCACCCTCACCCTGCGAATAATCAGCTCATCTCTCCCGTAGCTCCACTTCTCCTTCCATCATGACCGAACATCAACTATACATCCGTTTCGAGCAATATCCATAGCCTGCAGTCATATCATGGCTGCTAAAATCCAGACTACCAGAAGTCATGACTTCGTAACAAGCATAATGTACAAATGTAATGTACATGTACACGGAGTTTTGCGGACTACCCGCCACTATCTCGTCCGCTACGGGATACCTGATGAAGGCTGATTCACTCGCATCTTCTGCTACATGTACTGTGTCAGTGTGAGAAAGAACTTTGAAGAAGACGAGTTCGAGCATACAATATCGTAACTGTATTGCCATGATTTCTACCCTGCTTTTCATTGAAAACACTATCTGCATGACCTCTGAACCCTTTACCATGCAGACCACCAGCACTGATCAGGTGCATTGTACACAATCGTATAGCCTACATACTACAACTGTGGTATAATCGTGTAGTTATGCTCCTACCTCCGAGAGGACGCCAAATTATGCTCCAAATTTTCAACCACCAAATTATGCCAATACTTATGCCGGCATAATCCGCCGGTGCCTAGCTACGACCGTCACTGATTGTAGTGGACTGGACATGTTATCAAGGGAGTCGTAAACCTACGACTTCCTGGTGCATCTACTTGTACTTGTACTTGTAAAACATGTACAACTGTATGGAATTTGATGTGAACAGTCGGATTATTCCAATTTATGCGATTCGTATGCAATTTAATGAAGTTGAAGACACCACTGCAGCTGTACTTATGGTTGATAAATATGGTGGTAAAGACACACCTGGCAATATGGCGGTAAACACACGCCTGCCCACACACGCTCTCTAGTGGTGTCTTCAACTTCATTCTCCCGAGTCAAGCTCCGTATGAAGACATCCAAGAAGAAGATTGCCTGATGAGTCCAGCGGGGACGAAACGTACGTCGCAATCGAGCTATGTCATTGCTGTGTCGTCATCTATGTGCCATGCGCTACTTGATGTACCAGCCTGCTATGCCGGATACCGCCAGCCATGCATCGACCAGGCGCCAGGCGCGAACTGATGGTGGTGGTGGTGAGAAGGAGAGCTCTGTGCCAGAACTTTGCAGCCTAGAGAGCGTGTGTGGGCAGGCGTGTGTTTACCGCCATATTGCCAGGTGTGTCTTTACCACCATATTTATCAATCGTATGCAATTTGCCTCGAATTATGCGCTTATTCGATTTTGGTAGGAATTATGCGAAAAATTATGCTAGCATAATCCGTCAAGGCCTACAGGAAACTGTATTTCAATAATTGTGGCTCAACGTAGTGCTTACGCAGTTTACTGCTTCGAACACATCTTCATTCCTACTCCCAAAATAACTCTGTACAATTTATTGATGTAACATTATCATGATTATGGTACATTGTCTTTCTCGTTGTGCTGCTATAACGTGTATTATAAGTACATGCATACGAGTACTGTGTACCGTTTACTGTCTCCTTGTCAGTGTTTTTGGGCGATCCTCCACACCTTCATTTGTCCATTACGTATTTTCCTTATTAATTTTATAGAAATATTCACTCATTACAACTTCTTGTGATTGCTGGTGCGAATGTAGCCTGCGATGCCTGCTTGTTAGTGAGAGTGCACCAGACATGTATCGATATGTATGTCTGACGAGATGTTCTTGAACTGGCATGCTGCTTTGACAAGAACTTTGGTTAGATAAGGTTTAGAATTGGGTGCTCAATGGCCTGGAGGAATTAATCATGTTTGCGATCAGTATCACCAAGAGTACGGTTCTTCCGTCTACGTATCTCTTCTTGGCCTGCGGATTGGTTGAAAAAGAGATAAAATAAGTTCTACCCCCGTAACTTTATCCGCAAGGTCACGTGACTCTAGCTGGTAGTCCCGCTGCCTATTTGTGTGTGTGCGCGCGTGTGTGAGTGTGTGTGTGTGAGTGTGTGCATGTGTGTGTGTGTTTGTGTGTGTGTGTGAGTAAGTGTGCACGCGCATGTGTGTGTATGTTTTTGTGCATGCGTGAGAAAGAGAATGTATCATAATGTGTGTGTAAGAGGGAGAGAGAGAGAATGTGTGTGTGTGTGTGTGGATGTATGTGTGTGAGTAAGTGTGCACGCGCATGTGTGTGTATGTTTATGTGCATGCGTGAGAAAGAGAATGTATCATACTGTGTGTGTAAGAGAGAGAGAGAGAGAGAGAGAGAGAGAGAGAGAGAGAGAGAGAGAGAGAGAGAGAGAGAGAGAGAGAGAGAGAGAGAGAGAGAGAGAGAGAATGTGTGTGTGTGTGTGTGTGTGTGTGTGTGTGTGGATGTGTGTGTGTGTGTGATTTAGAGAATCAATGTGTGTGTGAGAGAGAGAGATTTAGAGAATGAGTGTGTGTTTGTGTGTGTGTGTGCGCGCGCGTGTACGCACGTGTCAGTGTATGTGAGAAAAGGGAGAGAGTGTGGGTGTATGTTTGTGTAATGGTGTGGGCATGTGTGGATTTGGCACTATATGATTTAAGTCCCCAGCTCGTTTCTATGTCATTCAGGCTGGAACTGCTGCTGCATAGCCCCAAGTCTGAAGACTTGGCAACTTCACACCTGCACCTGACTCGTGCGCTATGATACGCGTCGCCTATGATACCCCTCAGAATTTCCCACCTTACTCCCCTTATGTTCAGGCCAGGGAGTCGTAAATTATTTTACGACTCCCTGGTTCAGGCTGCCCGTTTAGGAGCCATCAGTTGCCTGACGATCGTAGTAATACGTGAAACTCAGAGTTGTGACAAAGCTTCCAATCTCTCTTGTAATACAGAAGTAGCTATATTCTGCCTGTGACTACTCACAGAGAAAGAGTGGTTGCAACTGTACATTCCGCATGTAACTGTTCGCATGGAATTATAGTGGTCACAACTGTATTCTGTGACCGTTCATAGGGAATTATAGTTTCCACAACAAATCCTGCAGTACGAAGCACTCTGCGAGCAGTCACGAACTGTGTACTTTACACATGTACATGTATGGTGATTTGTGACTGGTCATGGGGCATTGTGACTGGTAAACTAATTTGTGACTGGTCATGGGGGGTTTGTGACTGTTTGACTGGTCATGGGGACCGTGATTGGTCATGGGGCCTTGACTGGTCACTGAGTCCTACATATATGCTCTCCATAACAGCAAATGAAGCAGCATCAGCAGCGGCAGCGTAATGGCATAGCAGTTACCATTTAGAGATTGCTGTAAAGGCTACTCTATGATACTGAAAACAGGTGCACAAAGTGGCAGAGGTGATCCACTCAGTCCTGGCCAACAGGCGACAGCATCCTATTCCATGTATATTATATATTACATTTCAAGTATCTGTGGCTCCAAAAAGACAATACTACAATCCACTATTAAATGACCTATCTACAGCAATCAGTAACTGCATGTAAACACATGTATTGAGATTTTGCAGAATGCTCATGATGTAATGGCTGGTGTTGCTCAACCCACATATACGGCACAATGATGTAATATTGTTAGAGTGAGGTTAGAATCTGCACAGAGAATGATCTTCTTGGATTGGATAGCCGATGTAGAAGCTGCTGAAACTGCTTGCACTGCTCCTCATCCACAAAATAATCGTTTGGAAGTCTGTAGACCGTCTTGGCACACATACTCACAGGCAATGTCGGCGGCTTGATGGCATTTGCTGAGCCAACATGAACTGGTATTATAGGTGGAAGCCTTTGGTTGGGTGACATACGACCAGAGAACTCCATGGATTGAATTTTGTTCACTTCGGCCATGGTCAGTTTGAAAGTGCCATCGAAATCAGCATCCAGTCGAGCGCTGTACATTTCCTCTGTCATAGACAGGTTCAGTGGGTAATGCTGGTCCAGCAAGACTACAATGTAGTCAACACACTTTAGCTGTTCGTCCAGCCAAGTGTTACAACAGTCCGCCATCTCAGCACAGTCCTCGGGCTCGATATCAGACACGACATGTACCTGATTGCGCTTAAGAGCGTCGGACAACGTCTGTGCCTGCTCGAGACTCGTGCTCGTGTAGCGTGAGTAGCTGAGATAGACAGAGCATCCAAGGTAGACGTTGGTGGTTTCAGTCGCCACTGATGGGCATGGTGCCTTCCTTGGTCGGACCTGTAGCAGACACGAAGGCACGTTGAAAGAAAAGTACACGTTGGCCAATATGCTTCCAAAACTGCTCGCCTCACTACTTGTGGAAAGGCTAAGCACAGACATGTTAGGTTGACATCTTCCTCAGTCCACTGTTGTGTTTAAAAAAGATCAAGGCAGTGTGCTATGGGATCATAGCTGTTTGGCCCAAGATCCAGATTCAGAATACAACGTAATGAATGAGATTCTTTCAAGTATGGATGAACAACAACACTGTTTCACTTGACAGCACGGAAGATAGCACACTTGTCACTTGAGCAAGCTCAGGCTATACTGCAATGCTCTGCCAAAGTTACGTTGTGCAAGGAACGTAGAGATTACATGTATAGCAAAGCAAGATTGGACTCTAGCACTGGAAAACCGGAGAGTCTAACCAGTCATAAAGTCTAACGTTTTAACGACCACTTATTTGTCGTTATTTGAAACAAACAAAAAAGTTATCGCTAGATGTCTGTGTAAAGATGCGCATACAGATGTGTGGCCAGGTAGCCATCGTTAAACTTTCGGCACGTAATCATGCCAAAATTACAAAAACGTTAAATTTTTTGGTCGTTAAACTTTCCGGTTTTACAGTAGGCTCAATGCCTCACCTTGCCATTTAACATCCGGAGTTGAAATCCTGGAAAAGAAACAGTGCAAATGAACCATTAGCATGAGAGGAGGATAACTTTCACCCAACTTAATCTCCGGATAGGTACCCAGTCCGACCTTCTAAGGTCTCATCAGCGGAGCTCCGAGTGACAGAATAATCCAATTGTCTAAAGTTCAGTGAAGAAAAATAAAAGAAATAAAATAGAACGGACTCGAATGGAGAGCCAAGCATAACCTTATGGAAAACTTGTAGTTCCTTGGTCCTTTTTCTTTTCCATAAATAAAAAATAGTTTAATTTCTGGCTACTACGAGTACTAGTACTAGAAAGTTGTATTCAGGGTCGAGGAATACAATACGGTGAAACCTGTCTAAGGGGCCTATTATATGTGCAACTCCAGCCCGGGCTGGAGCGAGCGGGCCAGCCCGCCAAGGGTGTTTACATGTGCAAGGCCGGGCTGGTCGCCAGCCCGCAGTGAGTTTATATGCGCTGAGCACACGCCAGCCCGTTGTGAGTATGCAGCAAACACACTACGACTGTAGTGTGCTGCCCCGGGCTGAAACGCAGGGCTGCAAGCCATACTCAGGTTATAAACCTAAACACTTTTTTCCTCACACAATGTATTCTTCTGCTGATCTTTTTTCACGCTGTGGCACATGTTTGGTGTGTTGTATCACCTCGTTTCTTTTTCCTGTTTTTCACATTTTTAGCTGTCCATATCAAAGTATTTTGCAAGTAGTTCCCCTTCCATTTAAATGTAAATCATGCATGTCGACAAATAAACAGTGCTCACTGTACGTCCTTCTTGTTGCTGTACAAAAAGCTTCATAGATTTTCAAAGCAGTATCGGGAATCCTCATTATAACTTCCCTCAAAAGGTAAAAGTATCTATTTTGTAGTATGAACGCAGTGTCGACACCATAATAATACAACTCTGGCCCGGGCTGGTCTGTTTATATGTGCTTTTTCTGGCCCGCCTAGCCGGGATCCCGGGTGCCTCGAGGCGGGATCCCGCCTCGCCGGGCCAGCCCGCTTGCCATGTAAACGCACCACAGGTTTTGTGTGGATTTGTGTACAACCCCAAGATCCCGTTGCAGGCGGGCTGGCCCGCCTGTCGACCAGCCCGGGCTGGAGCTGCACATAGCCAAATGTGGTCTCTGTTGCCAGGTGGTCTCCTTATCCAGGGTCGTTTGGCTGCAAATAGCATCCCTTGGTCCTGGTTACAGTGGTCTTCTGAGGCAGATAGTCGCCTTATCAGAGTGGTCTCCTTGACAGCGGGTTTACTGTAGTTTCATTGTACCAGCAAAATAAGACCACTAACTTGGCTGCCAGGCTTACCTCTTGAATGCCTGATGCTCAAAAACAGGAGAATGCTCAGAATGGAAATAACAAGTGCCAGTCCCCCTACGGATATCCCTGCAAGAGAGCGAGAGCAACAGACAAGGATACGACACACCACTAAGCCACTCATTGTAATCACAAACAAAATAGGGCCCGAGCGCGATACGTCAAAACCAGGCCTAGCCATAACAAACACTGACGTTCAGATCCGCTTGGATCTAGTTTTCGTATGCGGCTGTGCATATTAGGGCGGATTCCTTGACAGCAGGGTGACACATCCACCCAGGCTGACTGGACGGCGCAGTCTCCCGGCCAAAACCCCAATGCAAGAAGAAAAACCTAACACCTATCCAGCAACATCATGGGCTTTTCCACAGGGTGCTGTACATCAGCAGCAGAATACAGGACAGAGATGTATGATACGAATGAGCACTGTCATTATGATTTCAGTGTCCAAAAATTATGGCTGCACATTTCCCTCAAATTCTGCCAGCATGTTTCGCAGTGTTCCGCTCGCAGTGGGACACCAACAAACAATAACACCAAACATAAAACTTGCAGAGGACACTTCCAAACCTAAGACTGTTACTTGTTTCGCAAACTGTAACTCTGACCTGCAGAGCCAATCGTTCTTCATCACATCAACAATCTCTTACCGATAGAAAGTTTCAGATTGTCTTCGAGCAGCTGGTCAGTTGTTTCGATTTGAGTAGTTGTAACCAGGGGTGCTGTTGACGGTGATAATGTGGGCTCCAATGTTACATTGCCGGGCTCGGAAATATTGCTTCTCAAAGTGAATGTTTTGCCGGTTGACCATTCTTTGGTGCACGGCTCATACATGTAGTTCAGCTGGATGGATAGCAGTAGGGCATGCACAAAACGTGGGCAAAAGATGTTGCAGTAGTGTACACAAAAGCTTGGTCAAAACATACAGCACCGGTAATACAGTCAGACCTCGCTTATCCGGTCCTCTTTTATCCGAATCCCTCACCATCTGGAACAAAATCGTCGGTTACCGATTTACAGCATATGCCATGCATACATACAGTATGTGTGTTTGATTATCCGGTTCCCTCACCTAGCCGGATATTTTTGTGGAAAACGGATGTGTGCGGTTATGCAAGGTGCAGTACGAGATTGTTGCAGCAAGCCCGCTAACTTAGTACAGGCTGGCTGCAATATGCTACACAGCCAAACCTCCTTTATCCAGCAACAATGGGGGTTTGGCTGATTTCTCCTAGACTAGGCAGGGTGATGCATTAACAAAATGCATCACACACTTGGACAGTATGCACATTAAGTCATGCAATTTTCGTGTTCTTTCTATCAAAAGGGGTGGAACAGTTGTCCCTCTCTAATCTGGCACTTGTTTATCCAGCACTCTTGCAAACCAGCACACTTTCTGGCAAAACGGATTTTTCAGTTCATTTTCTACGCTTTAATCCGGCACTTGAATTCCGCCTCCAGCAGCGATTTTCTGCAACAAATCACTCAAACTGTACATAATTCGATTTTCTAATCCAGCAGTTGTACATCGCATACTGTCAGGGACCATTGTAAAATACACAACACATGTAACATACACTTGGGAATATCCTATGCTAGTGCATAGGATATTCCCAAGTGTATGTTATATACATGCATTCCACAAAGTACTTGCTTTGACACAGAAAATCCCTACGTTTTGACGTACGACACAAACATGTATGATAATATGTGGGCCGGGTTGGAGGGCAGGATTTGATAATCCAGCACCCTTATTTATCCAGCAGAAAATGCCGTTGCAAAAGGTGCCGGATTAGAGAAGGACGACTGTAATCTCACACAGTTTGCAACTGGTCTATGCGGTTCACAGTTGACAAGTTCGCATCACAGTATGAATTAGTAGTTGTTTACGACTCCTTGGTAGGAACTCATCAAAGTATACATTGCCCACACATTGGTGCGACACCAATGAGCACCATAGTATGTACCCAGCAAAGCAAGCTCTAGAGATCATGACGGCTGAATCGTGCTGGATCCCCGTAAGCTCCGAGGGATGGGCTCGAGGGCAAGATCTCAACCGCCATGACCGACTCTTTGAGAGCGCATCAGGTGAAAGCGCTCTCTGGTCGATGTTACTGCTCAAAGGAGAAAGGAAGACTGAGCTGTTCTGTCGAAGTGCAATTGCATACTCCAGTCTCATAGATGAAGACTGCAGTGCTAGCATGCTACAATGCGTTCCAGCATTACTTGGCTACAGTGGCAATGGATGTTGATAAACTTCATCAACAACTTTGAATTCCAACGCCAAGCCAAACTTCCACAGGTCCAAGAGGTCTCGCTTTAGAATCAGCAATTGAATTTGATATCAGCAATAAAGCATAAATTCTCTCTCTCTCTCTCTCTCTCTCTCTCTCTCTCTCTCTCTCTCTCTCTCTCTCTCTCTCTCTCTCTCTCTATCTCTCTTTCTCTCTCTCTAAATGCTGTGTCATCTGTTTTAATAATGGCATTGCGCAAGTGGTACCGTGGGGACTCATATCAGCTAAATTTTGGTATGGATATCATATAATGGGATACATTTGGCAACGCGTTGCAAACCTCCCAGTAAAGACCACCTGCCAGTAAAGACCACCTTTTTGGAACCAAGGGGTGGCCATTAACTACAGGTTAACTTTAATTTTTCCAATAACGACTGGCATCTATCGGTCATGATGAGTTTATTATGCTCCGGGGCAGGAGAGCACACTGTTGGCATGGCCTGGACACTGGTTACATGTTGTGTACGAAACAAACATCTCCACCATTTGTTTTGGAAAAGGACGAATGCGGGTTAACGTGGTAAAAAATCGTGGGCACTGGATAATTTAGCAGGTCCGACTGTAATCTCTAGGACGCAATGGGTGGTTGCCTATTTCGGTTTTTGGTTCATATCAGGGTTCTAGCCAGGTAAAATAGTAGGGGGAGGGGGGGGGGGGACGGGCAGGGGCACAGTTACCCATGACCCATTTTTCCATTTTCCAAAAATTGCCTGGCCACTCAAAATGCAATGTACCCCGACTTCACCTTAAAAACAAGTGCGCACGGTGCCTTATGAACCCTCTGTTAGCGACTATCGGCTGCGTTTTCGTTGAATGGCTCGAAAAACACAAAAATTGACAAAAAATTAGGAGGCCAACACTTTTTCACAGGAGGCGCTCAATCAGAGTAAAGGTCACTGCGCCCCCTACCCTCCCTTGGCTTGAACCCTGCATATGCATCCATTCTGGCAAGCAAAGTGTCTGTTGATATTTGTTCTTGACAACATCACAAGGTCAGAGAGTGACAATGCGGTGCATTGTTTTTGTTTCTATTGCTCAGAGGAAGTAGGTACGACATGGCCAATTTTCAAGTCACACTCACTTTCACCCCAGGGGATGTAAATTCGATGCTTGCTGTGAGCCTCTTATCGAAGGTGATCAAGTACTTGAATTTGCTGCTCTATAACCTATGTGATCATTACTTACTTTCAAAACTACATGTAGCTTAACGGGATCTTGCTTCTCTACCTTCAGGACGAGTGCTCATGACTTTGGGTATATTCCCAACTGTCACCGAAAACTCGCCCACGTGTACAGTTCAATACACAGTACCGGAGTATCTACAGGGTTAACTTGCTGGTACTCAGTAGTAGTATGTTTACTCCTCAGTGTGGCAGTGGGTAGTGCAGCACACCAGAACTAACCAGCATGTTGACTTAGTTGTTATTCTACTAGGGGAATTCCCTTTGGCATCTGAAAATGCCGGCTTTCAAGGTTAGGATGCTTACATGGACCAGTGCACATTCCGTGCGATCATTTATGTAGCCCAGCTCCACTTGAACAGAAAGTTCCCAGGCACCTTTTGGAAGCTGCACAGACCAGAAACAGACCAAAAAATAAATGGAGATCAGTACACGCTAAATTACACATAACAGCAAGCATAAGAAGGGCAGGGTTCATGATCGTCTGGCCAGGGCCGGAGGCAGCTTCCGCGGAGCGGTACGGCTGAAGGGCCATCTTTAAGGGGGTCTGGGGTCCTCCCCCGAAACATTTTTGGAATTTAGATGGAAAATCCTGCACTAGTGCACTCTGGGCGACTCCCTGTACAAAAATCATACATCAAAACTTTTTCTCCCCGGTTTTGGACGTTCCACGTGGACCGACTTTTTGGGAAGTTGGTACGGACATGGCCGTACCGGCCGTACCAGTGGTGCCGGCCCTGCTGGCTTATGGTCACATGACTCATACCTAACAGCGGACAAGGTCTTTTTGAAAACTAGCTTGACGATTCTAAATTCACGGTCCTCTTTTTCTTTGGAATCGAAGTCAATTTCAATGAGATTTTGAAGTCAATTCAATGAGACTTTCAATGAGACTTTGAAGTCAATTCAATGAGACTTTGAAGTCAATTCAATGAGACTTTGAAGTCAATTCAATGAGACTTTGAAGTCAATTCAATGAGACTTTGAAGTCAATTCAATGAGATTTTGAAGTCAATTCAATGAGACTTTGAAGTCAATTCAATGAGACTTTGAAGTCAATTCAATGAGACTTTGAAGTCAATCCAATGAGACTTTGAAGTCAATTCAATGAGACTTTGAAGTCAATTCAATGAGACTTTCAATGAGACTTTGAAGTCAATTCAATGAGACTTTGAAGTCAATTCAATGAGACTTTGAAGCCAATTTCAATGAGACTTTGAAGTCAATTCAATGAGACTTTGAAGTCAATTTCAATGAGACTTTGAAGTCAATTTCAATGAGACTTTGAAGTCAATTTCAATGAGACTTTGAAGTCAATTCAATGAGACTTTGAAGTCAATTTCAATGAGACTTTGAAGTCAATTCAATGAGACTTTGAAGTCAATTTCAATGAGACTTTGAAGTCAATTCAATGAGACTTTGAAGTCAATTTCAATGAGACTTTGAAGTCAATTCAATGAGACTTTGAAGTCAATTTCTATGAGACTTTGAAGTCAATTCAATGAGACTTTCAACTTCTCCATTGATTGCCTGCGCACTCTGGCTGACCTAGTTTACAGAATGCCAGTAACATGATCCCCAGTTCTGTTCATCTCCCCACCGCTGCTTTGATCATCACGGACAGCAGTATTAGTGAAAGCCGAGTACATATATGTACTAGAGAAGTACTCAATGGCAGTGGCTAATCTAGATGGGGGCAATTGTCCCCCCCCCCCTCCTTTCTGGGCTGCCGACTTTTTGGTCGGTTTGGTTGAGTATGCGGTTTCAGACGTGCGCATGCACATCATGCATGGTGCCTGTATGCATGCCTTGCCACGTACTTGGTGCTTTGAGTGTTCTGGGTTCTTTGTAGTTTTTGATTTTTGTTTTTGAATGATGAAGCCAACAATCATGAAGCTAGAGGATGAGGGGCTTGACAACTACCGTATTATCTCCATTATAAGCCCAGGGCTTATATTACTTCAGCCAGTTCTGACCCTGGGCTTATATTACTTCAGCCAGTTCGGACCCTGGGCTTATATTACTTCAGCCAGTTCTGACCCTGGGCTTATATTACTTCAGCCAGTTCTGACCCTGGGCTTATATTGGAGACTGGGCTTCTACTAGAGACTGGGCTTCTACTAGAGACTGGGCTTCTACTAGAGACTGGGCTTCTACTAGAGACTGGGCTTATCATTTTTCAACCATCTGTTACACGTAGTTTTCTTATACTTTGAAGTACCAGTACTGGCAGTAGCGTGCAGTAGCACACTATTTCCCACCAGGTATCGTGAATGCAGTATTGCACTTCCTGGTGCACTGAGTCTGTACATTTTTATCTCGGGGATCGCAGACTTGCGCCATAACATGTGTGTATGTGATACTGTGGCCGTCAAACATGCATAGACACGATCCATACAGTTCTCCATTATAAGCCCTGCGCTCCTAATAGAGACTGGGCTTCTACAAGAGAGCGCGCTTGTAATGGAGATAATACGGTAGGTTCTACTCCCTAAACCTGCCAAAGTAGCGACGGCAAGGGAGTCAGATTGTAGTGTTACCCCCAACTCGACTCCTGGGTGAGCACTCGCGCCGAAACTCCGAGTCCTTCTGCTGGTTGTCCAGAGGTGACGCCGAACCTGTGGAATTGGTATGGCGTTTGAAGTATTGTTGTTATCCCATTAGTTGAGGATGGGGGATGAGGAAAATCTCCAATTATTTAAGGAGCAACCCATAATTCACTATCATCCCAGACCTCATGTTTCATCCATCTACTCACAGAAAATGTTTTGATTCCATCCCAGGTTTTGCTGCGGTGACATGGAACTCCACCTGGAAAGAGATTTCCCATGGCGACCTTGAGTTGTAGGTCCCTTCCGCCGGGAATAGAACGTTCCCAGTGGACATTAAAGGTGGCGGACGTCTTGTTCTCCTCGTCAACTGCAATACCTACACTGCCCATGATGTTGATGTACCCTACATCTGTGGCGAGAAAACATGTCAGACATCATACACATTGTCAATAGGGAATATTGATTCCATTGAATTACGAGTTACAATTCATCTTCGAAGCACATATCAACACCCTTCATACCGGGAAGGCTCCAGATCAGAAAACACAGGGGACAAATACCAAGCAAGCCATGTCTAGCACATCAATAAGATAGAGAGTCGGAGAGAGAGGGAGAGAGAGGGAGAGAGAGAGAGAGAGAGAGAGAGAGAGAGAGAGAGAGAGAGAGAGAGAGAGAGAGAGAGAAAGAGAGAGAGAGAGAGAGAGAGAGAGAGAGAGAGAGAGCGCGCAAAGGGAGAGAGAGAGAGAGAGAGAGAGAGAGAGAGAGAGAGAAAGAGAGAGAGAGAGAGAGAGAAAGAAAGAGAGAGAGAGAGAGAGAGAGAGAGAGAGAGAGAGAGAGAGAGAGAGAGAGAGAGTAAGTTACATTTATAAAGACAGGTAAGTCTAACAAATGAGGACTGAGACCTCTACAACAGGGTTTTTACGCCTGAAAGCAGGTGCATGATTTAACAAGCAGGTTGTCAGTCTAGATTTTATGCACAGATGGAGAAAAAATGCGCAGAATTTTTGTAATGAGATGAAAAGCAGAAATAATAAGAAAAGGTGAAATGAAAGCCTGCTCACAACCCCGCCCAGCCTTGCGAACTGGGTACGGTGGATTAAGAACCCGGTTCAACGCTCGAGCAAGCGCTCTCCACTCAAGGTGTTCACAGCAACTGATAGGAACTCATATGGGGAAATTATAGAAAAGAAATAATAAGATAAAGAGAATAAATTTCAACGCACCTCAATAAACGGAGCTCCGGAGCCCCACATACAGTTCCTCAGAAAAGTGGATCTTCCGACCAGTGTTTTTGTTGACGTCGCAACCAGATTATGTAGCTGCTTCGCACGCAGAGACGTCTTACTGCACAAATTACAAAAAAAAATTATTCTTCGATTAGAAAACCCAAGCGCTTTCAGAGCCCTCCGAAGAGAGTCCGGGATGAAACCACGCACACCTACCTCAACCGAAAAAGAAACGACCTGCCACCCGTTTGCTCGGCATTGATCGGCCAGATCCGCATACCGCCTGTCCTTCCGCGAGTTACTGACACTGAATCTGTCCTCAGCACAAACTGTCAACTCCATCCAGAATACAATCCTACGACTCGTAGAGTACAGAACTATATCTGGTCTTAGGGTGGTAAGTGCAACACAGCTAGGGAAAGAAATCTTTGCACTAACTGAGTCGACAAGAAGTTTCCAGTCTGAGGCCGCTGACAGGAGATCAGTCGTAACCAACTTTCGTCTGGGCTGAACGCGAACTGGCTTCTCTCCCGCCTTGCAAAACGAGATGAAGTCAAGCTCATTTGAATTTTCGGTTTGTACGGTGTTTGCAGCAGTGCGGATTCGAATCTCCTCACGCATGTTCCTGACGATGACCCCGAGTAGATATCTACGTAAGTCGTTGTCGTGCCTCCAGGTGTAACCATGGTAACGTCCCTGGTCCAGTGCTACGCGACAAGCGCCAAGCACGTGGCGCGTAGTACAGGCCCAGGCACGGCACAAACTACAGTATAGTACGGATCCACTACGGTGTTTCCCCAACGGCGTAGGTTCGTCGGAGAAGGTAGCACGTCGAGGGTTGATGCGAGAAGAAATTTCAAATCCTTACCAGTCTACGAGTACCACCGTACAAAAGGGATTTCCACGAGAGGTCCTGCCACATCACCGATGTCCACTCCAACCACTTGCCTTGCACCTGAAGAGTCTTCAGCCTCAAAATCTGCTCCTGCGCGTTGATCTCCTCAAATGTTTGAAGGAGATCCTTCCTCGGGGGTTTGGAATGCTGCTTCGGAGCACGAGCACCCAACCCTGCACGATGACTTGAAGATGACGGTGGACGGAGGGTCCCTGAACCTACTGATGCCTCTGCACACTCCAGCTCTATTGTCGCCGCATATCGCTTTGTCAGCTTCGCATCCTTACTCCGACGCAGAGTGTACAGCGCCCTCATGCGCGCGTCCCCACTCGATCGAAGAATGTGCCATTTGATGGACTGGCACTTTTTCCGCACCGTAGGAAGGTAGTGGAGGCGTAAGCCAAAGCGTTTGCGACTGCCAATAAAAAGAATGGCAGAGTTTGCGCATCGAGGTAGGCCTGACCATTTCTTCAGAAATGGTAAACACGTAAAGTGCAGTTCACGTACAAAACCTTGTGTGAGTTCAAGAACCTGGAAAGACCAAGAAAGCTTGGGAACTACAAGATGGTGGTAAAGCCATAGCTTGTGGTGGTCTTGAAGCCAAGAGCCATCTACTTTTTGCATGAGAGATACAGTGAGTTGACGGATGTCTTCCCGCTGGGTCTGCTCAGAGCAATCAGCATGCAGCCTTCGCCCCAGAAACTTGAACTCTGCAGTGTCAATGAAAGCGATCTTCCTCCCTGACATCGTCAGGCAGGGATCGTAAGGTTTGTACCGGCCATCTACAAGCTTTGCTGCACTGCTTTTGCATTTGTGCGGCGCCGCCTGCATACATTCGGTCCACGAGAGAAAGTCCTCCGTGACCGCAATGAGTTTTTGACAACCTGCACTAGATTTGCTATAGAGGCCTAAGTCATCAGCAAAAGCTGTTTGGGACACTTGCAAAGGGGCAGATTTAAAATCATAGGAGTGGCAACTTAATTCAGGGGCTGCAAGTGAGTCCAGCAGAAGCTGGAAACAAATATTGAAAAGGAGAGGGGACAAGGGGCACCCCTGGAAGACACCAATGTTGTAATTAAAGGTGGGAGTGTGTGGTTGTACGACGAAAGCGCAAAGACTGTCGTAGTAGGGCAAAATTAATTTCCTGAATTGCAAAGGAAGGCTGTAGTGGGTTAGAGCATCCTGTATCAGATTGTGGCGCACTGAACCAAATGCATTCTTCAAATCTATCCACGCAATGCAAATTTGGCGTTTTGCTGTCTTTGCATCACGCATCGCCTTTTAACAAAAGTGATTTATGCTCTAAGCACCCAGCCTTTGCAGGCATAAATCCTTTCTGGTTGTCACCATCGAAGAACTTATTGCCTAGCATATGTTTCAAGAGGCGCTTTGCAAATAAGGTGAAAAATATCTTCCCCGACGTGTTTGCTAGAGCAATCGGTCGGAATTTCGAAGGATCATCAGACACCCCCCCCCCCCCTTGGCCAGGAGTGTGATACACGCTACCAGCTACTGCCTTGGAATGATCTTGCTCTCCCAAACCCGCCCAAAGATGGTGAAAAGAATGGATTGAAGGGAGGGACAAAGCTTCCAAACTATGTAAGGTATCTTGTCAGGACCCGGTGCAGAGGTGTTGCGACACTTCTTCAAAACATTCTGAAATTCAGTCCATGTAGGGGTCCCCTCATCGACTGGGTGGGTGCAATCCCGGGGCTTCCCTGCACTGGGGCAGGATTCGTACGAAGTGGCACGGAGAGAGAGAGAGAGAGAGAGAGAGAGAGAGAGAGAGAGAGAGAGAGAGAGAGAGAGAGAGAGAGAGAGAGAGAGAGAGAGAGAGAGGAGAGAGAGAGAGAGAGAGAGAGAGAGAGAGAGAGAGAGAGAGAGAGAGAGAGAGAGAGAGAGAGAGAGAGAGAGAGAGAGAGAGAGAGAGAGAGAGAGAGAGAGAGAGAGAGAGAGAGAGAGAGAGAGAGAGAGAGAGAGAGAGAGAGAGAGCAGTTGGCTGGAGTGTGACCCGAGCATGCATTTTGAGGTTTGATGTTAGCTATAACTGGCACTGGGTTCTGATTCGGTAACATGATGACTAAAATCATAAACTTGGTTTAGCAATGGGCACTCAAACTGACCCTGTATAATAAAATATTTTGCTGGTTACTGTGAGCCGATCATGCCAAGCAGGTTTGTTGTCATAAGCGGTGCATCAGTCTTGGACTCACAGTGGTAGCAAGCACAAATGAAGTACAGAAAGAATGGCAATGATCATTGAGGTGAAGTTGAAGAAACGTGACTGCGACTCACCACTATTACATATTCGGGGTTGGTCAGGGACTTTCGGCATATCTGCAGATGAACGCAATGCCATTGGGAAGAAAACACCAGGTCTGAGAATGCCAGTAGGAAGAGAGCAGCAGGTCTGAGAATGCCATTAGGAAGAGAGCAGCAGGTCTGAGAATGCCATTACGAAGAGAGCAGCAGGTCTGAGAATGCCATTAGGAAGAGAGCAGCAGGTCTGAGAATGCCATTAGGAAGAGAGCAGCAGGTCTGAGAATGCCATTAGGAAGAGAGCAGCAGGCCTGAGATGCATGCATGGACGTGTGCTAACACTATCATGGCAATCATTTGAATCTATTTGCTGATTTGCCCCTAATATATCATTTGAATTTTGGCCACAAATGTATCCGTGTAGGTCAGGAAAGATGCCCCACCCCCACCCACCCCATCCCCATCGCCACCCTCCCAATCCTACCCCCCTGCTGTAGTGCAACAGGCAATAGGTATGGGTGGCTGAGCAACTTTCCCCAAATTATTTTCACAAAACCGGTTATGCACTAGTAAGGCGGACCACCCGCATATAAAAAATGGTTCAGTAGTGTTGGAGCGGCTCTGATAATGCTCTGAGTTGAAAGAAACACATTGGGCATCCTTAACGATAATTCGACTGAACATTGATGAGTCAACTAAGCCCACCCCGACTCTGCCCTGCCAAAACTGCTTTACCTTGTTCGGCACAGTCAATCTCCAATTTCTTTATTGGCAAATTGGGCCAACCAAGATCCCTGCAAGCTATGGAAGAAAGAACAACAAGGAGAAGGAGACAGGAAGCGCCGTACCACCTTCTTCAATTTGGGACTTCGGTGTTTACGGAAGAAAGTCAATGAATTTTCAAGGGTACTGAAACAAATTTTAAAAGCAGACAAAAAATGTACAGGTACACGACATGACCCCATGGTCCAACGGCAACACAATCTACCACACTTCAATACTATAGCCATCTGAACCTGTACTGCTGTCACCATGACTCACTGAGTTGATCTGAACAGGTCAAAGTGAAACAATCAGCGGGGATGCACCATGCATAAAATGCTTCACCTGCAGGAATGCAGGGACATTGGATTGGAAAGTACTCAACTGTACTTAGTGCTGGCAGTCAATACAGTTCACTACAAATGTGAACTGGACTTTCCCTTGGAATGTGTTGGAATGTCAGAGCCAAATCACACATTTCATGTCATGACCTTGAGGGATACCTTGGGCAGAAAACGTCTGTTGCCAGTTACTTTAGTATATCTGACACACCGGAGAAGTATGTGCAGCCACTTGAATGCCGGCAGAAAACAACAGTCGTTATGAAGATCTCACATTGCACTGTCCTGGTTTTGCTTCGACTTGTTTGATCCTGTTCACTTTTCAATGGCAGGGAGGTCACCTGGGGTAAGAAGAGAAAATAAGAGAAAATAATTGCGACAGCATACTACTAGTTCGTGCCACCTATCCAGGGGTCTGGTCTATATGGCAGTGAGACATCACGGTTCAGTATAACGTAACTTCAAGGGACATGATAATCAGCATGTTGTGGCTGAGGCACTCAGTAGTCAAGTTCTGCTCTACGTTTCGGGAAAAAATTACGCAAACTCTCTTCGCGTTCCCGTAACGTAAAGAAATCCTGTTCTGCTCTATGTTCCGCATAGAGAAGTCACGTGGAATGTGTCCTGGGAATTTTCCCTTCTATATTTGGCAGTTTTCTGCCTGCACTCGAATGATGCCCAGCAGATCTGTACGCATTTTTCTTTGCGTGTACCACAACGTAGAGAACCTCATCTACGCGTAGAAATCTGGACCCAAAAACGTGCGAAGCCGTAGACTCTAACCCAGACACCTGCGCTCTACGTGATTTCTCTACATTTCACGTATAGCAGAACCTCTCTAGTATTACAGTTGAACATCGATTATCCGACCACCTCTGGGCAGACAACTGTCAGGCGGTGTTCAGATAAGGCAAATGTTCCGGATAAGAAACATGTACATGTACATGTACGACCTTTTTACTTTTCAAAATTTTCGTATTTTTTGAATGGCTCACTACATGCACAGTGCGTACTCTACGGCACGTGCGCCCAAAAAAACTGTTACGGATAATCGAATGGTCGGATAGTCGATGTGCGGATAATCGATGTCCAACTGTACAGTGGAACACGGTTAGTTTTTTTTCGGGAAGCGACGGGAAGAGTTGGATCGATCCAATTTTCATTAAACCTCTTGTACGGGCAAAGCAAAATAAAACTGTTAGTTTGTTGCCACTCTGAGCTCACATCTGAGGTACTCACTATCCCAGGTCATATCATTGTAACGGCAATATCCAGGGTTCTAAAAATTATTATAAAGTGAGAACAAAAAAATCGATTGTTTGACATTCTTGGACTCACCGAGACTGAAAAGTTTCGCTGACGTTCGTGTCTAACGAAGCACATTGCAAATGCCGCTGGAGTGATCATTATGCCGGACTCGCTGTGTACAGTTTTGTCACTGGTGAAAATTACTTTGTTCTTGCCACTGTTCAAGCCGCTGTCCCGTAGCGCTTTCTGCAGCATAGTTGATGGAAGAAGAAGAAGAAGAAGAAGAAGAAGAAGAAGAAGAAGAAGAAGAAGAAGAAGAAGAAGAAGAAGAAGAAGAAGAAGAAGAAGAAGAAGAAGAAGAAGAAGAAGAAGAAGAAGAAGAAGAAGAAGAAGAAGAAGAAGAAGAAGAAGAAGAAGAAGAAGAAGGAGAGAAGAAGAAGAAGAAGAAGAAGAAGAAAGAAGAAGAAGAAGAAGAAAAGAAGAAGAAGAAGAAAGAAGAAGAAGAAGAAGAAGAAGAAGAAAAGAAGAAGAAGAAGAAGAAGAAGAAGGGAAATGCTCACCATCAAATGGTGGATAAAAACCGTTTCGACTGCTTTTTAGACAGTAACGGGTAAAGAAAAAAAGGAAAAAGAAACTCATATAAAGCAATTCGAAGAGATAGGCCCCCAGTACAGTTGGGGTGTGGTTGTGTTTCCGTATGGTATGGTGTGTCATGTACAGGTAGTTGCGTTGTGATGTATGGTAATTTGTAGGGCGAATGTCGAGAAGGCTATGAAAATAACGATTCGACAAGAACAAGTGACTACGAGAGGTTGGCAAGGTTGGCGATCGTCCACCCCCGGCCTTTAAGGCCGGAATGGCGAGTTCAAATCTTGATTTTGAGGACGTCCAACTATCCTCGCTGGGTGGCCGATCGCCCACCAAGTGCTCTACAACAGGTTCACCAAACAGTTTTAATACAACGGCCAGTCGCGCCATGTTCGCTCCCTTCGCCTTAGCCATAGGACATAGCTTGAGTTCAGCGCTGCTTGGCGACAATTCCTCCGCAAGAGCTGCGCTGTTCCTTAGTGCAGCGCAAGGATCTCGCGAAGGGAATCCAAGCTGGTGGATATGGCGCCTCTCGCTCCCACCTCTGCTGTGTGACTTTCCGTATCCAGCCATTCCTTACACACGCGCTATGAAGGTGACGATAGCGTTCGATTTTGATTTCGCGCGATTGTGCAAAGCGATCTTCACTACATACCGTGAGTTCCAGCCACAGAACTCTTCTCAATTCTTTGGAGAAGAGCACTATGTCTGGACGACAGGTTGTAGGTGCTATGAAGTGGGGGAAACAAGTTTCTCATCCTTCATGTCCACCAGGACCTGCCAGTCTGCTGAGCTAGTTACGAATTGGTCATTTAGCCGTTTGCGTTGGAGGGGGGCTGTTTGGGGAGATTCTCTCGTGCCTTGCAGAAAGTTATGTAATCAATTCTCTTCTGTTTACTCTGCGTTTCTGCTGATGCCGTGGCCTTTTGATAAGTTTGGATGGTTTCGTTTACTAGTTTTACTATGCATTTCAGTACGTTGTCGTGGCGCCAGGTATATCTGCCCTGGTGGAGGGCTGTTGGACATGCTGAAAATATGTGACGGAGCGTAGCTTGCCTGTTGCATAGAGGGCATTGTTGTTCGACCACAGAGTTACCCCACCCTCCTCAGATTGTCAACTGTTGGTAGTGTGTTTAATACACAGTTTAGTTGAAAGGAGAAAGTCCTCCCGTAGCCTTTCGTACAACAGTTTTTCCAAGTGAGGTCTTCAAACATCGTGTCTCTCACTTTAACCAGCTGCCTTGCATTTGCAGGCCTTTTGAGGTGGGATAGCTGGTGTTGGCAGTCACCTTCATGAATGGTATTGAGTATTTGTTTTCTAGGTTTGATTTTCTCTTGTTTGTCATGCCTAAAGCCGAGTCCTGCCCTGCCTTGCTGGAGGTTAGTTGGACTAGCGGAACACAGTAGCCAAACTGGATAAACGTTGCATCCGTTGCGTGGCCGATGAGCACCCATTGGCCCACACTCTTCCCTTGTACACCAGGCTGGGTGTCTGCCCAGTGCTGGAACGAGGAGAATGCAAGCTCCGACTCCTGACATTTAGAATCCGTTCTGGAATCGTCAGTGAGCTGTTGTCGTCCCGAATTGTATTGCAAGGCCCGCCGACAGCAATGACCACTCGAGGTCAATTGGGACGCAACCTTCCCCTCCCCCTGGCCCACAGTGCTTCTGGCGCATGCCGACCGCTTCTAGCCAGCTGCCGACTCTGGAATGGCCTGCCCGACTGTATGAAGTCCATAGTATCTGTCCGTGAATTCAAACGCATGCTACGCGTATTTTACTTCGGTTAAATGAAATGGCTTTCGTAACCTGCTGATGAGGCTCGATAGAATCATGCTACGATGACCCGACTTGTAAATTTGAGATCCATTTTTTTCTGCTCGTCTTGACCCTGCCTCCCCTCATTGCTACTTCCATTTTCGTATTTTTATTTTCATTTATTTTTCTCTTCATTTCTGGTTGTCATCGCTTCCATAATATTGGGCAGAACTGCCCGTTTGCCTTGCGATGTAAAATAAATGAACAACAACAACAACAACTAGCTTCAGAGATCGCTGCCTCGGCACATTCCATTTCTATTATTGCGGAGTATTGTCTTGTGAGCAGATACTGTTGTTTGCTGTGATGTTGGTACAGGTTTGCCATGTTCTTGTCGCTGCTGTTCTTGATGATATTCCATCTAATGACCTGTCGTTGCTTCCATAGCGTAGGGATGTACGTTAAACGTAGGCCGAAGCGCTCCCGAGCGCCGATGAAGAGTATTGCTGGTGCTGCGGGTCTGGGCAAGCCTGCCCATTTCTTTAAGAATGGATGGCAAATTCTGTGTAGGAGTTTGGCGAAGCTGTGGCTGAGATCAAGTATCTCGAGCTGCCATGCTATTTTGGGGATGATTTGATGCTGGTAGAGCCACAACTTCTGGTGTCCGTACAGTCTGGTCTCGGCAACTGTCTTTAGTAGGCATCTTGTGGAGTTTATGAGGTCTTCGCGTTGCGTTATCTCACCTACTGTATCTGTTAGCATCCTGCCTAGAAACTTGAATTGTTGGCCGTTTAGAGCTGGTATTGGAGTTTCCGATATTCTGAGTGCGGGGTCAAAGCAGGTGTATTTGTTGTTGGTCAATTTGGCTGCGTACGACCTGCATTTGTGAGGGGCCGCCTGCATTTAAGAAGAAGAAGAAGAAGAAGAAGAGAAGAAGAAGAAGAAGAAGAAAGAAGAAGAAGAAGAAGAAGAAGAAGAAGAAGAGAAGAAGAAGAAGAAGAAGAAGAAGAAGAAGAAGAAGAAGAAGAAGAAGAAGAAGAAGAAGAAGAAGAAGAAGAAGAAGAAGAAGAAGAAGAAGAAGAAGAAGAAGAAAGAAGAAGAAGAAGAAGAGAAGAAGAAGAAGAAGAAGAAGAAGACGAAGACGAGAGACGACGAAGACGACGAAGACGACGAAGACGACGAAGACGAAGAAGACGAAGACGAAGCAGAAGACGAAGAAGACGAAGAAGACGAAGAAGACGAAGAAGACGAAGAAGACGAAGAAGACGAAGAAGACGAAGAAGAGAGAGCGAAGAAGACGAAGAAGACGAAGAAGACGAAGAAGACGAAAGAAGACGCTCAGAGAGAGAAGACGAAGAAGACGAAGAAGACGAAGAAGACGAAGAAGACGAAAGACAAAAGAAGACGAAGAAGACGAAGAAGACGAAGAAAGACGAAGAAGACGAAGAACGAAGAAGACGAAGAAGACGAAGAAGACGAAGAAGACGAAGAGGACGAAGAAGACGAAGAAGACGAAGAAGACGAAGAGGACGAAGAGGACGAAGA